TTTTATCAACTACAAACTTTCCTCAGATTAATGAGGAAAATATTTTTGTTACTGTTGTCACACCCCCGCCGGGAATCGAACCCGGGACCTTTGGCTCTGACCACTAAGCTACGAGAGGAATGGTTGGCTTATACGTACATTAGAGGAAGGAAAGGCTTTCTAGTATATCAGCAAGGTCAAGTCCAAGGCCAAGACTAGAAGTATTTGAGTAAGACCAAGACCAAGTCCGAATAAATAAGTTGAAGACCAGTATCTTTGTCTTGGTTTGCTCATCACTATAGAGCACTTGTTGAAATGTCGAAAAACAATTAGGGAATAAAATGAAATGTTTGCTGGTTAGCTCCTTGCACAGGCCTTCTCTTGGTGAGTTTGTCTAAATTGATGTTCAAATTCACAATATAGAATTTGTGAATTTGTCTCATTAAATTACATAATTTACTAGCGCCCCGGCTTTGCACGGATAATAATTGTTATTTTCCTCGCTAGCGTGCGATCGCTGCTAATCATAAAGTGCTATAGCTACCGCCGCAGCCGTTATGTCCCTGCATTTTAAATCTGTAATATCTTCGAAAATATTCATTTAAATTACATGCTGTAAAGGGTCATATTGATCTATATTAAATGCACAATGTATTTAAGGCACTTCATTAGCTAATGATTAATGCTGTATTGCTTAAAATCGCTTCGTAAATAAGCCATTATTTCTCGTAAAAAGTAAAGGATAAAAAATGATTATTGTGGGTTATCCCTAAGTGATAGACACATACCACCCCGGACTTTTTTGTAGAACTTTTTAATGTGTACAATACTGTAGTATATTATTTTGATCTTTCTCGTAGGGTTCAGCCAGCGTTTGCAATGCAAGCGCAAAAAAGCGACTTCACATTAGAAACCTCTACAATTATCAGTGTTTCTCGTTCCGTTGCGTAGTTTAAAAGATCTAAGCATACATAGGGACAGACAGCGGCGAGCGACTTTATTGTTTTATACTATGTATGTAGTGATGGAATTTAGATCTATGACTGACTGATCACACTGTTTTGATAAAAATCTTGATTATTAGGAAGTAAATTTTGTACCGATTAGACCACATTCTTTTTCATTATTTCTAAATTTTATGGGAATATTTCACTTCCAACAATCCCTAACGATGACCTCTGTTATCTTATGTTTTCTATAATTTGTGCTTAATGAAAAAAAATATTAAAATATAGGAAATGTGTTGAATAAAAAAAGAACTCGGGAAGTTAGTCCGAAGAAAATAAAAATATCGTAGTAATGTTATGCCGTAAACATGGAATTCTATTGCCGGATTGAAAATAAACAACGGCGGTTTTACGATGGTGTAACCCTACGACGGAATGGGGTTAAGTTCAGTTAATGCTCGAATATCTCGATGCGGTTGGAACAGGAAATTCCAGTGATTCTATTTCTCGGAAAATGTAGGGCATGTTTGTAAACGGTTTTTCCGAATTGAAAAGGAATTGAAGTTAATTTAACGAAAAATAATAAACTCTGGGCTATTGTTATATGTTTTATTATAGAGAAAGCATTTTAAAGGCGGATGTTTCCTTAAGGATAAAACTAATAGTAATAATAAATTTTAATTTCATTGCTATTTTTAGAATTAGAAATTTCAGAAAACAATAATTACTAATGAGACCTTTTAAATAAATTTTGTACGATTAATTCAATGTACCATAAGGTCTTCAGTCGTAAGGCTGGTTCGATAAGCAACTCCACTCCTTCCCATCCTGAGATAATCTTCGAATTTCCCTAAAACTAGAACATCCCACATTCTTAACTATTTGAGAAGGAGAAGGGGTACTACAAACCTATCTCGCCTATATTCATAGATTTCTCTGTTCTATTATTCTCCTATTCTTTTTAAGACTTCTTCATTTTTAACCGTCTCTATCCAAGGCATCCTCATCATTCGTCTGTAAGACCACTTTTCGATCTTTTCTTTTCCGCTATGCCCACCGTCCAAGTTTCGCACCCATACAGCGCCCAGCTCCATACATACACGTTTAACAACCTTTTTCTCCTCCTTGCTATATATTAATACTGCTGTATCATCTGCAAATCTAAGCCTACTAATCTTTTGCCTCTCTATATCTATCCTTACAGTTGTACTGTCCTTAATGATGTTGATCGCGTCTTCGATGTACAGATTAAAAAGTAAGGGTGGCAGTGTGCATCCATGTCTGACTCGCTTCCTAATATGTACTTCTCTACATTGCTGCTCCAGCTCTATAACTACCTGTTGCTCTTTATAGAAACCAAGCATCATTATTCTATCTCTGTAATTCATCCCTACATTCTTAAGTATATTTAACATATTGTCCCATTAAACCTTGTCAAAAGCTTTTCTCAATCTACAAACCCTATGTACGCTCTCTTTTATTTTTCTATCGTTTTCTCTATTATTACCCGTAAAGCTAGAATGGCTTCTCACGTTCTATTTCTTCTAAACCCAAATTAATCTTCCCCTAATAGTTCGTCCGCCCCTTTTTTACATCCTTCTCTGTACAACTAGTTAAGTTTTTTGACACATAGGAAGTTAAGCTAATTGTTCTAAATATTTCGCACTCAAAGTAGTAGGGAATTAATTTTACTCACTACTGATAACCTCAAATTAATGAGGAAAAATTGTTACTTCTGTCACTCCCTGTCGGGAATCGAACCAGGGACCCTGGTTTTACGCATCAGTAACACTAAGCAACATCTAAGTGTATAGGTCGCAGAATCGTCGAACTAATGTATAATCATCATTATTAGTGAGATCCTTCTCAATTTTTGTAGTGTTAATTCAATATATTAGTGAATCAATTTTACCTACTGTAGATAACCTCAAATTAATTAAAGAAGGTAATAAGTGAATGACAAGATTATAAACAATCCAGTTTCTTAGCTTTTCATGGTTTTAATCAAAGAACAATTTGGTTAATACAGTAAATATGTTTGTAAAAATATTTGGTATATTTGCTTCATTCCGTACACAAGTTTTAATAATAATTCACTTTTCATGTTCGTTTTTCGTGTGGTGTGCAGTGACTTTTCTTCCCTTTTGAATTTCAAGGACTTATTTCCGCATCCAATTTTCCTTTGTGACTAATTACCTTGAAGCTTTGCTCTTATTTTCCGCTTTGATGTTTATACGTACATACGTGCCACCATTTTTCCCACTATTAGTTCTAAGCCTTAGGACAACAAAAATTGCTCAGACAGAAACCTCAGTTAGTCTTTCAGAGCTCGGAATTCCGCAAATATACCTAACCTCTAACCACCTACAATATACTATGTTTTTCTTTGAAGTAAAACAAAACGGTTGTTTATTAACAACTTCAATAGAAAATAGAAAATACGACAAATGGCGCCGTAAACGTCATCTGTTCTGGGTCCATTTAAATATATGGATATCTACTTGCTGAAGCGGCATTTGTGGTATTTTCTAAAACGCGCTGTTAAGGCAGCAGGTAAAAGTTGGTCTGTGTTCTGTCGGAGCTGTCTGCGACGCGCTGAAGAGATCCAAAAAGATCGAAATCGCGATCCGCGTCTGGCAGTTTCGACAGAATACAGACCACTTCGAATTATTTTATTCAATAGAAAATGATCTGCAACTGAATGTGTTAAAAATGAAACATTTTATGAAACGCTAAAACGGTATACCAAAAGTACAATAAACTGAAAAATAGAGTTACCAACAATGGTAATAGAAAATATTATTAAAGTAAATAAAATAGCACTGAATTGATGAAAATAATTGTTAAATATCAGGCATGAATATGGAATCAACAATGAATAGAATGGCGCATTCGAATGATTAGGGTAACTATCGCAAATGCACCTTCATACTTCATCCCCTATAATATATGTATATCGACAGGAGTAAATGTCAGAGCTGAATGTTTTTATTTATTTACTACTTTTTCCCCGTGGTCTCGCTCGCAGAAATTAATATTGTTTCTCCATAAAACCATTTCACTCCTAATTTATTCCTATAAAGTTTTAGCTTTATGTAATGTCGCTATTTTAGATTTCAAATACAAACGCAGCAACAACCTTAAGAGTCGATTCTTAAAAATTGCCAAAACACGTATTTGCTTCAACAATGAATAATTACAGCAACCTTCGAATAAATCCGAGTAGACCAAAAGCAAAAAAGTTTCATGCAATTTTTGCAAACCCCTCTCAGCTTCCTGCAGAGGTTGAATTTTTTAAAATGTTGAAATAGATATGTATATCACTAATTTTATATGAAAGAGCATTAAAACTAAGTTTCAAGTAAATCTGACTATAAATAAAATATGCAGCATATAAACGTAACGACCCCTTTTCACCCCTCTTTCAGAGGTAGATTCTTTTAAAATACTAAAGCAGGTGATTTTATGCCAATGAGCATAAATATCTATCAAGTTTCATATAATCTAACCAAAAACAAAAATGTCAAAATTTATAAGATGAAGGTTGTCCCATATAAAAATACTATCGAAATTTCTGGATTATCCCGTGCATTTTCCAAAAAATTTTTTTTACATAAACCTTGTCCTGTCAATTAGGTACAAATACAACAAAAGGCAAATCATACACTTGGTAATTCTCTAAAATTGACAGCTAGGAACAGTCTAAATTTGGCTTTTATGTTTTTCTGGGGAATTTTTACAATTCTTTTCTTCAAAAGGACCTTCCTCGGACTTCAAGGAATTTCTTAAAAAACATTATTAGGATTGGTCTAGCCGTTCTCACATTTTGCGTTTAGCAACACATTTATCGATCCATTTTTATGTGCTTATATAAATTTACATAATTAATAAATAAATAAGAAATGTTTACTCCTGAAATTGCTCGACCTAATCCTGTTATTTGTCCCAAATTCGATAGTTTCAATTTTAAACTGATAAGTATACATGTAGGCCGGGTACCCGGTCACCGTCAGACGTTTCAATTTAATCTGATGGAATAAAAAAAACTGGTTAAAAGGATAAACAGATACATACTTGAAGGGTCAATAATTCGCTGTCAGCCATAATAGCCGGTACAATAAAGCTGCCTTCCCCACCAGATATTTCTATGTCCTGGCTGTAAATGGATGTCATGTTGTCGTATACTTTGACGCGAACTCGAACTGTTTTCTCTGTGCTCATCACTTCGACCTGTATATTAAAAAAAAGGTATAAAGTTATTTGCCTAAAAAATATAATGCACCATATAAACTATCTATCACTGTATTATTCATTTATTATCTACAATGACGAGCCCTGTTCCAGTTATTAATTTTTGTCATAACTATAGT